CTAAGCGCAGTAGTACTTTTGGAAAAACGTGGCAAGATGGTAGTAGTGGTGAATAGTCATAATTTGTATGAAACCACATATAATAGAAATGCTTTTGTAATTTTTACTATGGGTTTTCTTAGATCAAAAGTCTGTGTTTGGGCCAAGAAAAATCTATGCATTGAAAGGAAATAAAAAATAAATTAATACATAAATAAATAAAGGCATGAAAAACAACTTCTAAAATCATTTTAATTTGAAATAATAATAAAAAAAAAGTAACAAAATATCAATAAAATGCAGAGTCATTTAATCAAAATCAATTTCTGGGACATAAAAGTGCCTTTAATTAAAGAAACGCACATCGCTTTTTTAATTATTGTTATTGTAATACTGATAACTGGACAACTGTGGTTTGTACTTTCAAAGTGCTGAAATATATCCCATTTTAATTTTTTGTGTGTTAAAACACTGCGATAGTGGTGCTTTCTTTTTTCTATTTACATTGCACTGGATGAAACGGAGTCTGTGCACAGAGCCCTCTTTTCTGAAAAAAGGAAATGTTGTTCACGCAAAGATTAGGCTGCTTGCACACTAGATAAAGCTTTGACAGAGCATTTGATGGGAAAAAAAACACGATATTCATTGAAAGCTATAAAAAGAGTCAGTTTGAAAATCAAGCAGAAATGCATCAAAATCGATTTCTAAAAGCAATGTTTGGTAACATGATGGATCACAACTGTCCCAAACCTTTGCATTTTTCCTGCCACGTTCTTGTGACGTCAGTCAAGTCTGCCTTGACATCAGTGGATTCACAGTGATGGAGTGCGTTTAAGTAACCTATGTAAGGAAAGCTCATTAAGATACAACAGCTGTGAGAACAGAGTATTTCTATTATTTTTGGTTTCCTGCCTCCTTGTTAGTTTAATGTAGTTAACAATACACGAACAACCAGAAGTCCGAACAGATGTCACGTCACAGCCTACAGGCGAATCATCGGTCACATCAACTCAAGCAGAGCTGCTAAATGCTTTCACAGTAGTGTCTGTCCAGCGTCTTCTGTCTGACTGCTTCTGTTTGGAGTTCGACTCAAACACGCTGCTTTCCTGGCATTTCAGTGTTTCCAAAAAAGCCGCCATGTGCTTCTGATATACAGAAAAACATGTCAGTACAGAGCCCTGCACATGGAGCCCCTAAAATTTACGCAACGGGTGGAATATGTGTGTCCCATGGTTGTTCACGCTCCGTATGAAGACCGTTTAAAGGCCTTTTCACACAGAAAGTGGCAAGCGGTGAAAACGGCTGCGGCTTTCTCTTGTAGTTTTGTGCAGTCGAGGCGGTGTTTGCGACTCGAACATGGGGCGGACGTTGCCATAGTTGCAAACAACAAGGTCACATTTGATTTTACTAAAAACTAAATAAACAAAAGATAACAAACAAATCATTTTAAGACTATGACTAGCATAGATTTTGTGTCAGACACCGTTAACTATGACATTTTACACTTTATTGTATTTTTACGTGGTAAAGCAACGCGTACACGTGATATTCACAATTTTCACAATTATTCAAATATTCACAATTGTGTCGATTCCTATTGAGAATGTATTTCACACAAAAAAAGTTTAGTTTTTTAACATTTAATGTTATTGCATTCCCTCTACGCTGCTTTTTAAAATTTGCAGATGAAGATCTTTAAACATTGCATTGTATCTTGTTTTTCATGATGTTTTGCAACACATCATGAATGTCACATTTTTGAAATTGCCTTTCTTAAAATATGTTACAGACAGACTAGGCGGCTTGCTATTAAAGAAAAAGGAAGTCTTCTGAAAAGATCTAGGCCTATTAATTTTGAATGATAAACAAAACAATTTAAGTGGTTAAGTGCAACATTTTAGCAGTGCTTGCTTTCAAACCAAGCAGCTTTCTGTTGGTCAACATGGAAAATTCACAAAAAACCTTGAACCTTGTGCGATATGTATCTTTGTAGAATTATTTTTAATAGACTGCTCAATTTTATTTAAATTTCGTAGAGCAATAGTATATGTGGCCACACATTTAAATCAACCAACCTCATTTATACAGAGCCCAACTGAACCTTCGCAGGAAGTCTAACCAATCATAACGCCGAATCCGCCATTTTGTCCGATAAACACACCAACCAGGAGAGTACATTAACTTTGGTGGACTTGAACTTGAAAAATGTTGTGTATTGACATCTTTCCGCAGTTGAAACAAGATACCTTCTGATATTCATTCATGTTTATTTAGTGCTGTAATAGAGCTGCACGATTAATCGTTAAAAGATCATAATCTCGATTCAAACACCCATGTGATCCCATTTTTAAATGATGATTTGCTCGTTACCATTAAACCTTTGAAAAAGTCATACAAATCTGCATTCAAATCTGTTTGTGCTGCCGCTGACACAGAGCAGAAAGTTACCATGTTTAGGTAAGAAACAGCTTTAGTCTTTTCAACTACACAGTATTATTTCTGTCTTAGTCATTCATATTATCACAGAAATACTGGGATGGAAGTTTATAGTTCGGATATAAACATTGATGTCTAGTGATCAAAATAGAGTAAATATCCTTTTGATAGTAACTGGCGCTTCAAATAACGCTTTTCGATTGCATCGTTTCGCCACTAGGTGGCAACAAGTGACTGACAAAAACGTATTTGTCATTGAATCATTCATTCAAGAGATTAGTTCAAAAACGCTGATTCATCCTGTAATGAAACAATCCAAAAATACATATATATTAAAATGTTCTAAATGTTCTGTTATTAAAATTAATTTATTCAAATTAATTAAACACTTATAAATAGACTGCAGCAATAATATTGTGTCTGACACTATTTTGTTTCGTTCAGAATCGTGGGAGAATCGTGATCTCTATTTGCAATGTATTTTTCACTCTGTGAGAGCATGACTGCCATGGCTTGTCGGACGTAGCAACAGTAACGAAGGGGGGTGGGTCTTTGCGAAAGGTCAATTTACAGTCACCTCAATAAAACCTCATTGGAGCAGTGCTGGGAAAAGTTACTTTCAAAAGTAATGCATTATGATATCGCGATTCTCCATAAAGTAACTAATTGCATTACTTAGTTACGTTTCATGGAAAGTAATGCATTGTTACTTTTACGTTACTTTTTGTCACCTAGGCTGGGCGCCAAAAGTCAATGAATAAATGGGAAAACAAAGTAACTTGGATTACTTATTTGAAAAAAGTAGCTCAGATATTTTTGTTGTAAATTAAAACGTAATGTTACTTTATTAGTTTCTTGAAAAAAGTAATCTGATTACGTAACTTGCACGTTACTTGTAATGTGTTATACACAACACTGCACTGGAGCTTGTGTTATGACATAAACGCAAAAACAAGTGTGCTTCGATGTCACTGTTTGATTTAGAATTTGTATTATTAGGTGACCTATTCCTTTAAAACAACGCAGCCACTATTTGATTTTATGTAAGAATTCCCACCAGAATGTTTATAGATTTTCTTGCCCCGAGAGAAAGGCACTTAAAGTCTTTGAATGAATAGAATAGGTCCATTTTAATGCAGGATTTGGATGTTAAATCTAGATCCGTGTCTTTAAAAGCTCTGAGATGGATGTGAGTGAGTGGTTTGTCTGCCGCAGGCCTGTAACTGAATCTGAAGCTGATGTTCGCTGCCAGGAAGAGCATCCCAAACCTCCTAGTAATACAACTGCTCTGCTTTAGTCCCGCTCACCTTCACCTTCACTTTCTTTCTCCGGCTGTATCTCTGCTGTCTCTTTTGTCATCGTCGTCCTCCTACTGTGTCATTCTTTCACCACTCTTATCTTGTGTTTCCCTCAGGCACATGGATTTTATGCTCTCCTACCCAGCATTCACTGGGGCCACTGTGTGTGTGTGTGTGTGTGTGTGTCCGGTTGGTTACTCCTGAGAGATGCTTTCCTTAGAGATCTGGTCACATTAACAGTGAAAATACTACAAAGACCACCAGGTTTAATGAAAAACGTTCTTAAGCTGCACTGAGTTGTGTTTTACTAACATTAGCTATTAGCAATGAGAAGGCCATCTGAGTCAAATTAATTGAAGAACTTATTGTTTTTCATTTTATGCTCTCCTACCCAGCATTCACTGGGGCCACTGTGTGTGTGTGTGTGTGTGTGTCCGGTTGGTTACTCCTGAGAGATGCTTTCCTTAGAGATCTGGTCACATTAACAGTGAAAATACTACAAAGACCACCAGGTTTAATGAAAAACGTTCTTAAGCTGCACTGAGTTGTGTTTTACTAACATTAGCTATTAGCAATGAGAAGGCCATCTGAGTCAAATTAATTGAAGAACTTATTGTTTTTTCCCTTATAAGCTGCCGTTGAGTCCTCCTGGTTAGTTTCTACTTATAAGTCATCGATATGGATACAGTATGATGTGCATACAGTGATTTTGGTTAGACTTAAATGGATGTTTTGGGCAATTACATATTTATTTATTTTTTTCACTTCATGACAAAGACAGCAAGGTTTTTAGCATTAGTGCAACAGCAATGCACATTAGGTGTGTAATTGATGCTTTTATCATTACTGTGCTGCCACAGGAAATGATGGGAAATTAAGCTTTGTTGCACATGCCTGTGGCTTCATAAAGTGACAGAAAATGCATTTTAAATTATGATATGTAATATAATAATATACTTTTAATCATTTTTTTCTATTTTTTGTTTTATTTGTATCGTTTAGTTTAGTTTGATATACTAAAATAACTAAAACAACATTAAAATGAAAATGAATAAAAACTATATAGACATAAAAAAGAATGACAAAAACACAACAAAAATTAAATGAATTTAATATTATATTTTAAAAATGTTTATAAAAAAAAAAAAAAATGAAAGCAGAAAATATAAAAATAAAAACTGTTTCAAAATATTAATAAAAAATATAATATTATCTTTATACTAAATACAAATATATCTGAATCAAAATTAAAAACACCAAACTCTTTCTGAATTCTGTGTGTCTCAGGCTGGCGGCAGCGGCAGAAGGCGCAGAATCTCGCTTCATGGAGGAGCCGGAGGAGGAGAGCAGTGAGGAAGAGGAGGAGGAGTTGAGTCCGGAGGAGCAAGGTGAGACACGTGTCTTTGTCTCTCCTGACCTCAGATTCACCTCTGTTTCCTCTCACACTGATTGCACATTTGCACAGCTCACCGCACCGTCAGCCAGCGGCTCAAACACACACTGCTCCACAACCCTTTCTTTTGTCTTTTGTCTCTTTTCCTCAGTTTTCTCAGTCTTATGCAGTGTTACACAGTAAAATACTTACATATAGCGTTGTCTAGTAAAAGTCCAAAATATATATTAATACAGGTGAAATCTCACAATTCTTGATGATAATTTTAAAAACACTGCAGAAACTAATATCCTATCGAATGCTTAAATAGAACATTAAATATTGGACATATTTAATTAAATATGTAATATATAAAACAAATAAATGAGCTCTTTTAAATACAGTGTAAAGAAATACTCTTTGAGAGAAGCAGTCAATCAGCGGAAGTTAAAAGCAGCTCATAAGTGTATTTATTTCTTGTCTTATTAGCGCAGTTGTCGTTGCTAGGAAACGCTTGTTTTGTTTACTGTGAGACGTGCTGAAATCGCGTTTGGTCTCGTACTGTATTGCGTACCTTGTCAGTGTCGTGCGCGTGCGCTTGCTTAGCCCTTTGTTGTGATAAACAGTAAATTGTGTCCATTCAATTTCCGATTTGTCAGACGGGTATAAAAAAGATTATGAATGCTTAAATAGAACATTAAATATTGGACATATTTAATTAAATATGTAATATATAAAACAAATAAATGAGCTCTTTTAAATAGACAGTGTAAAGAAATACTCTTTGAGAGAAGCAGTCAATCAGCGGAAGTTAAAAGCAGCTCATAAGTGTATTTATTTCTTGTCTTATTAGCGCAGTTGTCGTTGCTAGGAAACGCTTGTTTTGTTTACTGTGAGACGTGCTGAAATCGCGTTTGGTCTCGTACTGTATTGCGTACCTTGTCAGTGTCGTGCGCTTGCGCTTGCTTAGCCCTTTGTTGTGATAAACAGTAAATTGTGTCCATTCAATTTCCGATTTGTCAGACGGGTATAAAAAAGATTAGTATACTGCGACAGCCCTCGTGTGAAGACAGAAGAGTGTAAAGACCATCAACTCTACCGTGCAACTCCACCGTGCAGGTACACAGACAAGGGACATAAGTATCGCTTTTGATTCATTCATCTTTTCTACACCTTGCTTCACTTCTGTTTCAGTGTTTTGTTTTTTTGTGACCAACTCTTACTGTGTGTTTCATATCTCTACTATTACTACCACTCGCTAACCACGTATCACACACTATAGGGAGTACAATTCTAACAACCTGCGCACTTTGCCTATGTCTACTAATACACTACTTTCTTTTTCTATTGATCTCTGGAATTGTCAGTCTGCAGTAAACAAAGCACATTTCATTACATCTATTACTAGTCATTCAAGACTATACTTCATGGCCCTGACAGAGACGTGGATCAAACCAGAGGACAATGCTACTCCTGCAGCACTCTCCAATAATTTCTCATTCCCCCCCTAACCGCTGGTCAAATTAAAAATCTAAACTAAAATTAAATCATCTTTGAGTGCAAGGGGGCCCCCTGGCGTATCGGGGCCCTATGCAGCTTGTGTATTTTGCGTAAAGAGAGGATCGGCTCTGGGTGGAGGTACTGGTCTGCTTATCTCTAATGATCGGAAATGTATTCCTTTACCTTCTCTAGGTATCAACATCTCCTTTGAATCACATTCAGTCACTATTACCCACCCTTTTAAAATCCATTTTGTAGTTGTTTATCGACCCCCAGGACCACAAGGTAACTTCGTGGGAGAATTAGATGTGCTGCTCTCAACCTTTCCTGAGAATGAAACTCCACTAGTTATGCTTGGAGACTTCAACATCCATCTAGATAAACCTCAGGCTGCAGACTTCCACACTCTGCTTGCTTCTTTTGATCTCAAGCGAGTGTTAACCACGGCTACTCACAAATCAGGCAACCAACTGGACCTTATTTACACACGACACTGCTCCACTGATCATATACTGGTTACTCCACTACACACCTCGGATCACTTTCTCCTCACTCTTAACCTCAACATTGTTCCTGACACAACACATACCCCTACACATGTCACTTTTCGACGTAACCTACGCTCACTCTCACCCTCCCGGCTATCTGTTATGGTTTCTTCTTCGCTTCCTCCCCCTAAACAGTTATCATCTCTTGATGCTAACAGTGCTACTGTTACTTTCTGCTCCACTCTTACATCTTGTTTAGACACTGTCTGCCCCTTGTCTTCCAGGCCAGCTTGTACCAACCCTTCTACCCCTTGGCTGTCTGATGTTCTCTGTGTACATCGTTCTAAGTTCAGGGCTGCTGAAAGGGTATGGCGCAAATCAAAAAATCTTACTGACCTTAATGTGTATCAGTCACTCCTCTCTTCCTTCTCCGCTAATGTCTCCACTGCTAAAATGACATACAATCATAACTAAATTAGCAACTCTCGCATGCTCTTTAAAACATTTTCCTCCCTCCTTTGTCCTCCTCCTCCCCCTCCTTCATCAACTCTAAGAGCTGATGACTTTGCCACATTCTTCATTAATCAAATTAAAAACATCAGTGCACAATTTTCCACACCACAATCTGTCAAGCACATCTTACCAGCAAACATAAACTTGTTCACATCCTTCTCTTCACTCTCCGAGGCCTAAGTCTCCAAACTTAGCCTTTCTAATCATCCTACTACTTGTCCGCTTGATCCTATTCCATCTCATCTCCTTCAAGCCATTTCTCCTGCAGTTGTATCTGCACTCACTCACATCATTAATACTTCCCTTCACACTGTGTTTTTCCCTCAGCATTTAGACAGGCTCGTATAACCCCACTACTTAAGAAACCCACCCTTAATCCATCTCTTTTAGAGAACTACAGACTGGTTTCCCTTCCCCTGACTTACTTGGACCACATTGGCAGACCTGCCAACCTGTACGCATTTTGCATAGCGGGTACGCATTTTGACCTTAAAGTACGCTGGTACGATTTGTCACTCAAACTACGCAAAAATCTGGTGACCTGTCCTCGCGCAGTAAACAACCAATCAGAGCGTTTTTTTCCGGTTTTGCATTTAAATAATTTCCGTCTGTTTTATTTCTCTCCAAACTGGCTCTGTTTGTGTGTCCGTGAGTTGCGCGCAGAGATGAGGAAACACGTGCATGGTGCATCTGAAAAAGCAACATAAGCCGAGCATGACTTGTAATGCGGAGCATTTCTAAACCTGTTGTCCAACAAAACAGAACATTATAACATACTCCACAATATCAGGCAAATGTTATGGTTTTTGAGCCACGGACTGGATCGTTTTTCAGATCAGCAAGAAAATGTAAAATATTTCAATGTAACTTTGCTTTCCATTTATTACTTAAAGATAAGTACTTAATCATTAAGTGTAAAATAACACTGCATAGTGTTCACATAAATGAAATGTAGATTAATCTTTGTAAAAAAAAAAATGTTTTGTTGTTTGATGAGCATAATGACAGCACCAAGGTATTATTAGGCTGCTGCCCCTTTAAGACCTGATGCACGGATCCAACATAATGATAAACATCCGATTTATTTCTCAGCTGTTCTCGTTCACTTAAGACACAACAGACTGCATTTGCCACAATCATTGTCGAGATGGATATTTTGACAATTTTATGTGTATAATGCAAGGAGTGAAGGAGATACGAAAAAGGGTTCAGTTCGGTGTTCGCATGCAGTCAAACACGCCTCTCTGCGTGTGTGTGCGGCTGTAAACATAGAAAACAGCAAGCAAAGTAATGAATAGAGTTTTTGCTCTATGCCCATATTCTCAGTAAAGTTTATTTGGAAGTATGAATATTTGTTTGCAATCCTCATTCCTCGACAACCCCTGACAGAATAACCGACCGTATAAAAACAAACAGAAAAGATGGACCTACCAGCATTACGTCTCCTCCTCAGACCAGAAAGCTGAAGGTGGCTGGGATATTTGGGCTGGATGCTCCAGAACGGCAGCCTCTCCCTCACAGTCAGCGAGCCCGAGACACCAACAGGGCTCGTCCAGGAACCAGAACCGGATGCCACCAAAGCCCTGGAGGCTAAGCACGCTAATCAGTCCACCCTAGAGCCAGAGGCAGGCATAAACCTCATAGATCTGTGGTGCGCAGATCCAGTTCCTACCCAAGTAGCCACATTCAAACCTATGTCTTCTTTGCCGGTCCCGTCCGGAGACCTTCCTCCTCCGATGTCCCTGTCGGATTTCCTGGTCCCATCTCCTCCGCTGGTTTCAGCCAGTCCCCTGGATTCGTCGGCCCCACTGGTGTCGTCCAGCTCCTCGGCTCAGCCTCCGCCGCTAGCACCATGCGGCTCGTCAGCCTCTCCTCAAGTTTCCCCTCCACCAGCTTGGTATTGCGCCGAGTCCCCGGCTGCACTTCAGCCCTCCAGGCCCATGTCTCCACCTCCGCTGACTCTGCAGTTCCGGCTCTGCATTCCCTCGTCTCCACCGAGGTCCGTCTGCCCTAGGACTCCTCTGGGCTCCCTCGTACATCCGGACAAACCTCGGTTGGTCATCGCGCAGCTTCCGCCACGGACTTTCGGGTCTCCGGCTGCGCCTCAAACCTCCACCCCTTCGGCTACACTTCAGTAACGCGAGCCAGCTGCTCCACCTTGGGCTTCCAGGCCTTCGATGTCGCCCGGGTCCGTCGGCCTCTCTGCTCCGCCAGTTCCTCCACTCACCATGGTTCCGCCTCTGTTGATCGGTTTCTGGGTGCCTCCCAGTCCTTCGGCCAAAGCTCCACCCTGGTTCCTCCCACCGTCGGCTCCACCATGGCGTTGGTTTCCTCCGACTTCTCCAGGTTCCTGTTCTTCACCAGCACCACGCCCTCCACCTAAGCCTCCGCCCTTTTTCCTCTTTTCTATCATCTACTCTTGTGGCGTGAGGTCACACCTTCTAAGAGGGGGAGCTAATGTCACAATTATGGTCAGTTTAGTTCAGTTCCTGTCATGTCTGTTTTGAGCGCTCTTTAGTTACCATGGTTTCTGATTAGTTAATCCTTTTCCAGCTGTTCCTGTTTAATTCCCTCATTTACCATGTGTGTATTTATAGTCCTGATTCTGTTCTATCCTTTGTCGGTCATTATATTGTGGTACGTGTTGTTCTACTCCAGTATTCTCAGTAAAGTCTATTTGGAAGTATGCATCTTCGTTTGCAGTCCTCATTCCTCGACCCTGACAGCTGTGCGTTTAATTAAATTAATTAAAAGTGTTTAATTAATTTGCCCGAGGTATTAGAAATCTAAATGTGTAATATATATTTAAAATATAATATATTTAATACACCAATTTTTTAATTAAAATTATGAAAAAGTGGTTTAAATGAATGATTCAATGGCTCACTCAAATACTTCCCTTGTTTCATTACTGGATGAATTACTGCGTTTGAACGTATCTCTTGAATGAATGATTCAATGACAAATACATTTTAAACGGTCATTTGTTGCCACCTAGTGGCGAAACAATGCAATAGACACAAGCATTATTTGAAGCGCCAGTTACTTTCAAAAGGGGATTTGCTCTACTTTGATCGCTAGTTTATATCTGAACTATAAACTTTCATCCCAGTATTTCTCTGATAATAGGAATGACTGCAAGACAGAAATAATACTGTGTAGTTGAAAAGACTGTTTGTGAAGCTGTTTCTTACCCAAACATGGTAGCTGTCTGCTCTGTGTCAGTGGCAGCACAAACATCTTTAAAGAGTAATCATGCAGCTCTAATGTATACTTACAATTACTTACAAATTGTAATCCGTTACTGATTCCAGATTACATGACAAAAGTTGCAGTTAGTAACACAATTCATTACATTACACATTTCAAGTAATGTAATCAGACTGCTGTTTGATTACTTTTAGATTACTTTTGACCAAAGTCATTTATCACATTGATTTAAATCAGATAACCATGTACCATATTGATATAAAGATGCAAAGAAAGCACTGTTTTTTTTTATCAATATAATTTTACTAAAGATTTGATTATTTTTTGTTAATCCAGTGTTTATTGCTAAAGAAAAACAGAAACATGCGTGAAATTTTGATAACGGGGTTGTAAGCATCTATTCTAATGTGAAATAAAAGCACATGCAGTATTGAGTTTGATGTACTGATGTAGCACTGCTTTCCTCCGGCTTTGTGTTGAAGGAGAAGTGGATTCTTGTGTTTAGAGCTGTACGTGCTTTGTCTTTCTTCAGCCAGAAAGAAGCAGTTTCAGATGATGAGGAAGATGCATTATAATGAAGGTATGAACATTAAACTAGCTCGACAACTCATCGCCAGTGAGCTGGCAGAGGAGGAAGACGAGGACGAAGAGATGGATGACACGGAGACCGAGGACATCACCGTCGACCCCCCACAAGATGGTAAATGAACAGTAGGTTAATCAGCCGTATGTGATTCAAGCCGCGGTCACACTAGACTTTGAGCATGCGAAATTGTTAAAAACTTAATTTCAAAACATAACAAATTATAATACAGCTAAAATGTAAAAACATACAATCTAGTCCACTTTCCTGCAGCGCTGCGGTTTAAAATGTATGTTCTTTTAATTCAGATAGGAATGTTTTTTTTAATCAATATAATTTTACTAAAGATTTGATTATTTTTTGTTAATCCAGTGTTTATTGCTAAAGAAAAACAGAAACATGCGTGAAATTTTGATAACGGGGTTGTAAGCATCTATTCTAATGTGAAATAAAAGCACATGCAGTATTGAGTTTGATGTACTGATGTAGCACTGCTTTCCTCCGGCTTTGTGTTGAAGGAGAAGTGGATTCTTGTGTTTAGAGCTGTACGTGCTTTGTCTTTCTTCAGCCAGAAAGAAGCAGTTTCAGATGATGAGGAAGATGCATTATAATGAAGGTATGAACATTAAACTAGCTCGACAACTCATCGCCAGTGAGCTGGCAGAGGAGGAAGACGAGGACGAAGAGATGGATGACACGGAGACCGAGGACATCACCGTCGACCCCCCACAAGATGGTAAATGAACAGTAGGTTAATCAGCCGTATGTGATTCAAGCCGCGGTCACACTAGACTTTGAGCATGCGAAATTGTTAAAAACTTAATTTCAAAACATAACAAATTATAATACAGCTAAAATGTAAAAACATACAATCTAGTCCACTTTCCTGCAGCGCTGCGGTTTAAAATGTATGTTCTTTTAATTCAGATAGGAGGTCATGCTGTGACGTATCAGTCTGCCGTTGGTCATACGGTGTCACATGATGCGAATTAGCTAAAACTTGAACTTTGGAACGCAGCGAAATGCAAAACTTTTCGCACAGGCTTGCATTTCCGGTCTGACGCATTCACAGCACATGAATGGAAGTCAATGGAACGAAAGGTGCAGCGTGACCGCCCCTTAACTCTATTGCCCTGCATTGTACTGTACATGTAGTTTAATGTTTTTTTGAAAATCTGCACACAAACAGAAACTTTCACATGCTCTGAGTGAACTATGGTGCATCGATTGCATGTTGTGTGAAGATTTTTTCACTTTCTCTTCAAGCACGGTCTGTTGACCACTAGAGGTCCCTTGAGATGCTGGAAGGGTTTCCAGATGCTCTCTTAAGATCAGTTTAGGACAAAATATTTCAAAATAGAGCAGAAACTTTGCTTGTTAGCAGAGCTTGATAAGTCGGGCTATTGCTATTGCTCATTTTTGGGGTTAGCGATTTGAATAAATCTTAACCAGACATATTTACCCTGTTTAACCCTGGAGAGCTTGACATATCAAATAATAGTCATTTGGAAGTCTATTTGGAAGTATGCAAAAAAAAAAGAAAAAGTTTATTTTCAATCAAACTGTTTATTGAACCTTCAGACAAAATATGTTCAAAAATTGCATTTTTATGTATCATATTTGATGAATATTAGGCTTTTATGGCCCAATTTATTGGTCACAAAAAAGGATCAAATTTATTTTTCATTGCATTTATGATCTTGGAATCATTTCAATTAATTGAATAATAGTAATTATTTTTGCTAAATAGGTGAATACTGCAAAACCTGACAAGAACTTGTCTAGGTCATGTTTTGGCTTCAAAATCAAAAGGGAGAATATATATGATGACATTTATTTTGCTCATTACTTTAATCCAAAATTATCATTACTTGAATGCAAAATTACTCATTACTGTAAAAAAAAATAAAAATCAGACTCATTGCTGTAATATATATATATATTCAGACTCATTGCTGTAATCGGGAAAATAAATAAATATAAACTCTTACTAATAAATACAAATATATATTCAGGCTTGTTACAGTAATGCAAAAATAAATACTCAAATATATTCTGACTAATGTACTGTAAATAATATTATGACTCATTACCAAGATGCAAATAATAATAATTCTGACTAATTACCAAAATTCAAAATGCAAAAAAAGCACCTCTTTACTGTAATGTGAAAACTGAGAATAAAATGTACAATCTCAAATAAAACATCCAGATGCATTACATTAATGAATAAATAATAAAATATTTGAAAACATTATTTCATATAAACTTTATTTACTTAATTTGTGTATAATTTTAATGAAATAACCAAATAATAAACATATTTTTGTTCTTTTGATTTACTGAAAACAAATTAATAAATAATAATAACAATAATAAAGAAGTTCTTGACAGGTTTTATGAAATTCACCCAAATATCTCGATGCAGTGTTTCTGCCTGAATGCATTTGAGACCCTTTTCTGGCGACTGTTTATATTCTCCACATAAAGACAGTACAATCATTAGTTTAAGACAAGGGTGCCCAAACTCGGTCCTGGAGGGCCGGTGTCCTGCAAAGTTTAGCTCCAACTTGCCTCAACACACCTGCTGGTAAGTTTCTAGTATGCCTATAAGAGCTTGATTAGCTGGTTCAGGTGTGTTTAATTGGGGTTGGAGCTAAACTCTTTAGGACACTGGCCCTCCAGGACCGAGTTTGGGCTTTAAGAGGTCTGTTTTTGAGATGTTCCTGTCATTGTGAATGTGTTTTCACTCGGCCTGCCCTCGACTGAGGGATGTCAGGAAATGTGTCGAGTTCTTGTAATCTTTCAAAAACAGTGCTGGACACATTGAACATAAAAGCACTTAGCATATTTCTTAATTGGTTACCAATATTTAATGAAAAAGATGAATGGTCTGGTTTGGTCCTGCAGTGTCCCATCAGTCTTCGGTATGGATTGCACTCATATTTGACTCACTGGCTTCTTATGATCAAGTCAGATTAAGTGTAATCCTACATTTATACATTCGCAAGCACAAGTGCTTTGATTTTATCGTTGTGTTGAACTTTCTTTTTTTCTTCTTCACGCGGTTTGAGTAATTTGACAATTTCTGTGTCCATTGTATTCCTCCCCAAGATTTTTTGTTTCTTTTCCTAAATAGATGTACATGTTCTTCAAATGAAAATATGCATATTTGTCAGTCATTAAAATGTTGGTATGAGCTTGTTCTTTTGAATTTGTTTTTAAGTAAAGAAAGCCACATGCTCTTACAAAATATACCGTGATAATTACCGTGAACTTGCTATATAATAATGGTAATATATAATGTTAATATCACACAAACAACTATAACTATTTTCGCGTCCGCACCAACAACGGACGACATCCAGGGTTGCCAGGTTTTCACAACAAAATCCACCCAATTGTGTTTTGAGGGGGGTTCCCCAGTAAATATCTTGTTCTGGGGGTAAAATACACGTTTTTTTGGTGGGGTTCCCCGGTAAAATTCGCATTTCAGGGACTAAATATGGTTTTTAGGGTTGCTTCAACCCGCGGACATGAAAAGCAACCCGCGGCAACAGTGTTAAAGTAGCGGGAAAACCGCGACCTTGGCAACACTGATATACCGTTCTGATATCTATCGGCCTTTAACGTAGCAGTCTATTCAAGCCACGGAATAAAAAAGTAGCAGTCCATTCAAGCCACGGAATAAAAGAATAAAAAATGTCATTTTGAGTTCATATTTCAAAATTCTGACTTTTTTTCTTGCAATTCCGAGATTATATCTACCAATTCTGGTAAAAAAAGTCATTCTTTTTAGTTTATAATCCCACACTTCTGGCTTTTTCCCCTCAGAATTGACAAACTCGCAATTGATGAGTTGAATAAAGTTATCAAGTCCGAACTAGGAGATATAAACTTGCATTTGCAAGAAAAAAAAGTCTGAAATAAAAAATTATGAAATAAAATGTAAATGTTATGTAAAATGTTATAGGTTTAAATAGTATTTCATGCATGTATTTCAACTGTAGGGCTAATACAATATGTCCCCTATATGAATATTATATAGACCTATTGTTTAAATCAAATGTATGCTTTAAAAGTAGGGTAATCATAGCAGGTTTCATCCATAGTCTGTCCGTTTAAACGTCTGCTTTTAGCTTCAAATGGCGTCTTTGACGACAGTATTATATAAAAATTATTTGCATTCCGATTCTGACATCCAAAGACACAACAATACATTTTTTCCTCTTATTCCATGGTTTTTATCCATTTTCCTCCACTTGCTTCCCATTGTTTTTATGCCACCACTATGCGCACGCAGCTGCAACTGTGACGTCTACTCCAAATTGGTCTATTCCCATGGAAATAAAACTGTTTATAAAAACTTTATTGCTGTCGTTGATATAAATGCCCCTTTTAGGCACGTGCTTTTAATAAACAGAGCGTTATCGTATGTGGGTTTGCATGCTAATTTATCATTTTATAATTTAAATATTTTTAAATGTTGTTTTCTGTAAATAGTCTAGGAATTATTGAGCATAAATCAGTTTTTAATGCTATTCTGGTGATACGTTTCGCCCTGCTTTTTCTTTAGAAATTTTTTAATAAATAAAAATGATCAAACATTTTAAAAGATAAAATATGTTTATAGAAAAATTATTGTAAATGAATAAAAATGAAAATAATTTAAAAATCAAAATATTTTTGATATAATGAAATTAATTAAGTAAAAATTATAAAATTTAAAAATTAATTAAAAAAAATCTAAATATTTTTGATATGTAAGAAATTAAGAAATTATAACATTTTAAAGAATTAATTTTAAAAATCTAAGTATTTTTGATATAATGTAAGAAATTAAGTAAAAATTATAACATTTAAAAAAATTAATATAAAAAATTAAATATTTTTGATATAATGAAATTAAGTAAAAATTATAACATTTTAAAGAATTAATTTTTAAAAATCTAAATATTTTTGATATAATGTAAGAAATTAAATAAAAATTATCAAATTTAAAAGAATTAATTAAAAAATCTAAATATTTGTGATAATGAAATAAATTTTAAGTAAAAATTATAAAATGTTAAATAATTAATTAAAACAAATCTAAATGTTTTTGTTTATAATGAAGTAATTGGTAACTTCTCCATCCATTACAGCAGATTGCTTGGATTCATAAAGATGTCAAGATGTGTCCATCAGCTCCTGCCTTGTCCCATGAACGTCTGGAAGATGCAGTTGTCTAATTTATACTTACCCTTTATTGTTATAAGCGGATGTTTATACTGGCAGAGCCTCCAAAATAAAATTAAAAAAAAATTATTTTACAGTAATAAGTGTAACTGTGGCAGAAAATGTGTCTATTATTTTTTGAGCCGGTTTTAGCAGATTTGAGTATTATCAGTACATGCACAGCAGCAGTTTGAAGCACATATGACTCGCCAGAAATCTACCACTAGATGGAAATACAATGAGTACACGCAGCGACCACAAACTTGATCCAGTCAGTAGATTCGCAGGAAAGAAGGAACTCTTAAGAGCTTGAAAACATCACACCGCGACATCTGCGTGGTCGATATGTACATGCACCATTTAAACTATCCGGTGTAGACTGGAGTGTCAGACAGGACTTGGCAGGAGGGGAAGTGCGCATTGGACTCGCTGGCCTGTTACTGGCGCGTCTCAAATCTCAGACCGCAGATGTCACCGTTCCTATGACCCCTTTAATGTATTTATTTATTTTCCCTCCAGGGGGCGCTTGACGGCTCAAACGACCGATTCCACATTTGCACACTACGAAGTAACATAATTATGTCTCTGTTACATTCAGTGAGTGAAACCTAAAACGGAGACAGATGCAAACCCTCCCACAATCGTTAAAGAAACAGCTGAGGCTTTAATCGCAAACGGCTGTGATTGGTCAATCCTGACCAGCGCTGAGAAAAGTAACGCGTGCCATCGCTAACCGCTGGACGATAATAACACCGAGCACCTTTAACTTGCGAATATATACAGGACAGATAATTGTTATAATAATTAGACGCGCCCTCTCCCCACATGAAAAAAATGCTGTAGTAATTTATATTTATAGTGTTTTTGAACCATGCTGTATTATACTGTATATATTATAGTGTTTACAACACGTTGTTAATGAATGCTACAGCATACTGTATAGTGAACTGATAAACTGTAATAAATACTGTAGTTTACTTTAGTTTTTACTACAGTAAACTGCAGTGTATTGTAGTATAATATACCTTATAGTTGTAGAAAACGCAGAGTGAAGTAATTTGTTAATATTACTACAGTTGTTATATGACCACAGCAGCTATAGAATTACCACAACAAATGAATTCAAGTACTTTACTATAGTATTTGTTCAAAAACACTATAGTATTGTTTTATGTGTGTACAAAGCCCCGCCTTACAAAGACACGTCAGCCAATCCGATGTGAGGCTCAAGATGATTGACAGGCGAACTCAAACTAAGCCCCGCCCACTATTATCTTACGGTTGGATTCAAAACGTCTTTCTACTCCACTGGTTTCGTTTCTGTTCTTCAGGACGAAGCCCATGGCCAAACCTGCAGTCTAGATAGGCAGCACACTTGGGTTCGAGCCACTGCCTAATTTAACGTTACTCTCCGCAGATCAGTCCACTCGCTAATGCTGGAGGAGCTAACGCTACAGCCCTTAAGTCCCATTTCCACAGCGCTGTCCCTCTGACACGAGCGGCGCTCCTATGTGGGGTTTATTCGGGATTCTGGAGTGATTTGAGCTGAAGTTTGAGCTGCTTGTGTTTGAGCAGGAGCTAACGCTAGCCTGTTAGCTCTCAATCTGTGTTTATAAACCTGATCAAGATCAAGTCGAGATGAAGATTGCTGTGGACTTCGAGGAATGTCTGAAGGATTCTCCCAGATTCAGGTGAGAAAGACGTTCAACTTAAGCTCATTTAATACTGATGTGTTTGTTTTGGAGTTATATATATATATATATATATAACGTTATATGTATTCGACGATAGAAGTGTGTTTCATTCCATGTAAACTATTTAAACTGGTCAGTTTTCCTATTGTCTTCCTGATTCATTGCCACATTAATATTTTTGGCTTTAATTTTTAATTTCTGTTGCATCTGGTTGTGGTGGGTCCTGTTATTAGCTAGAAATTTGGGCTGCTGCCTGAAAGATTGTAGATTCAAACAAACAAACAAAGATTAATGACTTATCAGGTCTGGGCCTTTGAGCAAGACCGTTAAAGGGACCGTTCACCAAAAAAATAAAATCTGTCATTAATTATGAATTCACCCTTATTTTGTATCAGATGTATTTCTTTTGTGGAAAACAAGAAGAGATGTTTAGCAGAATGTTTCATGCTGCTCTTTTCTCTTTTCCATACAACGCGAGTGGATGGGGACTGGAGCCATCAAGGTCTAAAAATGGCAAAGCATACCAAAAACCTGCCGTAATTAATAGTCCATACTATTGCAAATATGCTACAAAAGTTTTAGAAAGCTTAGACTATAGGACGCAAGTTAAATTGAGCTATTTTTTGAGCTTGACTGCCTCATTCTCCATTCACTCCATTTATTCTTACTTCAGGTTATTCCAGAAATGCTAAACATGTATTAAGTGAACTTGTAAATGACTGTTTAGTAACCGTCCTTATATCTACAGGGTGGCCGCGCGGGTCCTTAAAATGTCTTAAAGGGGTCATATGATGCATTTTTAAAGATCATTATTTAGTGTATTTGGTGTAACAGAATATGTTGACATGCTTTAATGTTCAAAAAACACATTGTTTTTCAAATGCTATACATTATTGTAGGTCCTCTATGCCCCGCCTCTCTCAAACACTTAGTTTTCTACAAAGTCCCTCCTTCCGACAAGCGCAGTCTGCTCTGATTGGCCAGCTGACCCAGTGCATTGTGATTGGCCGAACACCGCAAGCACGCATCGGAAATGTAACGCCCCTTACCATAATCGCGAGCTTCATCTTTCAAAATAAATGTAAAGACAGTAAATAATGTCATTAGTTTTACCATCATTTCAACTTCAGGGATCTTATCTCTGCACAATCAGCTTGTAACACTCCAAAGAGAAAGGAAAACTTGAAATCGCATCATATGACCCCTTTAAATAAAGTTTTCCTAAAATAAGGCTTTAAAAAGTCTTAAAATGTCTTCGATTCGGATTCAGTAGGTCTTAAATATTTTTGGTCACATTACCACAAACATTTCTCCAGTCTGACGGACCCAGTGAGTGTCCATCAGAGAGAATCGCGTTTACAGAATACAGTGGAACACCAGCTCGCTGTCCAGCCTCCTTTAAATGGGTTCATGCAAGTTTACTGAAAAATGGCTTGAGAATTGTACTTGCCCGACAGGACTAATAGCCTGATTAAAACTTAACTGACAAAATATAATCACGATTCAAAACGTGCGAATGATTCTTCTGATTTTATCACATTCAGCTTAAACAGCAATTGATAGTGTATTTCTATTATCAATGTCGAGACTCGTGCTGCCTGTCTCTGTGAGAGACTTTCATGGAGAAATCAAATCAAATGAGCGTACGGCACACATAAAGAAACTCACAGAACAAACACACTGAGGTAAAAATTCAAAAGGTTTAGTTTATTTATAGCATGATATAGTCAAGTAACATACCATGACAAGGGATCTATTTTGCTGAATATTTTCACGATTGCAAATGTTACACTGATTTTAGTTCAACAAACAAGTAGTTAAGTATATGAAGTTACTTACATTTTTAGACACAGTTCACTGTTTTGTTCTATTTCACCAACGAAAATAGTTCCGAACAAAGATCAGAACAGAATTATTGCGCACATTCTCCAAGACACACTGGCGTTTGTTACTGAATGATTCAGAGGTTTGAAGGAATCGGTTGAATGAATAAGTGACTTACCGCCACCTACTGG